CACACATGCGCATGTTCGAGTCGGTTAGAGCATCAGATTGGAAGAGACGAACGTCAACTAAACCCTACGAAAGGTTTAGTGAGCATATCGCAAAGAGGTCATCTGTTTCGCTGGACGAACCAGATATCGCGAATAATCAGGCTCTTGACGATAATGAAACCACAAAACTGATCAACCTTAAAATCACTAGTGTGTATGTTGCATTGGCTAAAAATAAACGCACATTGGCTTGTCTGGCGTCAACTCCGAGCCTTCATCTTGCCGTATTCGGACAAAATATTTGTGAGTGTGGTGCGAAAACCAGTCAAAATTAGCACAGCTCGACAGCAACCGGTCTGCTGATAGATACGAGCACGGCAACCAAACGAGTGTCAATCACGTGAAACATGAGCATCATGCCGGGCCTGACAACGCAATCAACAGAATACTACTCGAATTGCTACTCGCACGAATGCTACTAACTACTGCAACTATTAATAAGTATATTAAAGCAAAGGCACTTAGCAACGACTATTATTAAGTAGTGCGATTCGCCTCGAACGAAAATGCCTTATTAATGTTGCCTTGGGGCCGACCTATGCAGTTGGAGCTTGTGGATAGGCAAAGACTCGCCTGAATTGTTGAGATTTGCCACTCGGCCAGAAATCGCAGAGTATACGCTTGTCAGATTGCCTGTATGTGCGTGTCTATATGCACAAGAACATATTTTACATACACACACACACACACACATATATACATATATATATGTATGTATGTATGTAAGTTATGCATATATGAATATATGAATATTTGAATAAGTAAATGAATGTATGGTTGTGTGTATAATTGTATTTATGAAAGTGTGTATGTGCATAAGTGTGTGATTATGTGTGTTTGCCTTAAGGCTTGTCAGGTCTGCTATTCGTGCTGTCTCCGTCCTTCTCTCGGTCGGTATCCAACTGGCCTACTCTTGGTCGGACTGACTCGTCTGCTCGTTATTCGACAGAGCCGCCGCCCTCTACTCCCCAAGGCATTCGAGCTGACCGGCTTTGACCGGATCGATCCCAAGAGCCTTGAGAGAGGGATCCTCCGGCCTCTGGTTGTCGGGACGATGATGAACTCTCGAGGATCGCAACTGCTGTTTGAGCAGTTTGCCTGAAAAAAGTGATGCTCTTCCGTGCCAGCCCAGTTGTCAGGCTGAATGTTGACAGTCTACCAGCCGGACAGAACTTGGGAAAATTAGATCTTCCACTGGCGCGCTTGCGTCGGAGGCGGAAGAGCAGATTCGACGGATAAAAACCAACCAGAACTGGTCTCATCTGCCAGACAGAAGAGTTGAGCCCATTTAAGATGTTCAGA